ACGGACAAGACTACCTGGGGATTATTGATATGGGAGCCGACATATCTCTTATAGCCGAACGCTATATACCAAAATTTTTGCATAAGGTAGTCTCATGCAAATTAACACTTAAAGGAATACTTGCCGGTGTCACAAATCTGCTGTTCCACGTAGCACCAGATTATGTTCTAGAACATGATGTTATAATCGGGCTCAATTTGTATGATGATCCTAAAATATCAATGATCACCGTGTAGTCCACAATAAGATTCCTCGCATTTTCCGATATGACAAGTACCTTAATGGATCCAATAAATCTATCAGACGAATATCGCTACTATCTGTTAAAGTTGCTCTTGCGATTTCCTAAGCTGCTCCCTATCAATGGATACTTACCTGAAGTGAGTAATGCTAGGTAACAGATTAAATTAAAAGATGACGTTGTGGTTAATAGGAATTCATACCGCTTGTCGGTTAGTGAAAGGAACGCTGTATGGGACAAAGTGGATGAATTGATGTTGCGCAACTTTATCAGGGAGAGTGATTCGCCATTTGCTAGTCTGATCATTCTAGTCAGGAAGAAGGACGGAACATAACGGATGTGTGTGGACTATCGTCAGCTTAACGCACACACAATAAAAAAATCGATTTCCACTACTGCTCATAGAAGACCAGCCCGACCGACTTGGTTCGAGACGTATATTCACATCATCAGATATGTCTTCGGGATTCCACCAGATAGTCATAGCGAAAGATTCTATCGAGAAAACGCCCAATGGGCATTTCGAATACTTGCGGATGCCATTCGGTTTAGCCAATGCTCCAGCCGTTTTCCAGCAAGCTATAAATAAGGCATTAGGCTCCTTGAAGGACGGTGTAGCTTTGGTGTACCTGGATGACATCTTGATTCCGTCCCAAAATATTGAAGATGCATTGTAATCGCTTGAGCTTGTCTTTGAGGCCTTACAAAACGTCGGATTTTCCTTGAAACTTCAAAAGTGCCATTTTTTTTAAAGGATACGTTGGATTATCTGGGGAGGGAGATATCAGCCGACGGCATATGTCATGATCTGCGTAAAGTGGAAGCACTAGTTAATTCCCCCATTCCCACTAACGTCAAGCAAGTTAGACAATTTATGGGACTTGCTGGATAGTTCCGCAAATTTATACCAGAATTTGCATTACGTACGGCAAATATAACAAAACTAACACGCAATAGTGAACCATTCATCTGGCCTGATCAACAAGAGTGTCCCGGAAATATATCATCCATTGTTTGACTTCAAGACCCCTTTTGTCGATTTTTGATCACTCTCTGACAACTAAGTTACATACTGACGCCAGTTCCATTGGGTACGGGGCAATGTTAGTGCGAAAGAAAGAAGGAAATATTAAAGTTATTGGATATTTTAGCAAAAGGACCAATAAATACAAAGGAAATTATCATTGGTACGAATTGGAAAATCTGGTAGGGGTCAATGCATTGAAACACTTCCGTGTATACTTGCTGGGCATTAATTTTACTCTGGTCATCGATTGCAATGCCATAAAAGCCACTTCTACAAAAAAGGATATTCTTCCCCGCGTTGCAGGTTGGTGGTACTATATGCAGGACTTTGACTTTTCTATTGTAAAGACAGCTCCCTTCCTCATGTTGACTTTTTGAGTCGAAACCCTGTAGTACTACGTCGTTTGGATGCCACAGATAACTGGCTCTATGTGGAACAGAGGGGTGATGCCGAAATTTGACAAATAATTGAGGACTCAAAAGAGGGCCGTCTGGATCAAAAACGATACTCATTGAAAGATGGGATAGTACATTATGCTATCACGATTCCTGATGGTACGCATATGAAACCATTTGTCCCTAAGCAAAGTAGCCTTGGACTTTTACGTATTTTTTATGACGAACCATGCCACATCGGGATGGATAAAACTATTGAATCCATAAGCCGGCATTTCTGGTTCCCAAAACTGCGATCATTTGTCAAAAAGTATATTAAACACTGTTTGGTTTGTGCTATAAAGAAAACAAGATCTGGGCCCCTACAAGGACTAATTACAAATATAAACAAGCCGACTACACCAATGCAGGCTATACATGCAGACTGCCTTGGACCGCTTGAAAGAACATCTGAAGGATATAAACACATTCTTGTCTTAATAGACGCTTTTCCAAAGTATTGCTTATTACAGCCCTTAAAAACATTGAAAGCCGATGAGACAAGACTTGCATTTCAAGCATTTATTTCATTATTTGGAACCCCCCAACAGATTACGATGGATGCCGGACCCAACTTCAATAATCTATGCCTCCCTCAATATTTGGATAGTCTTGGAGTAGCGTATCATTACACAACGCCAGATGTTCATCGTTCTAATGGACAGGTGGAACGCTATATGCGTACAATTATGGATCTAATACGCGTGGAAACAAGTATTAAATACGATTGGTCAAAAAGTATCTGGAAGATACAACTCGTTTTAAATTTAACCGTACAAAAGTCCACTCAAACTTCACCTTTAAGAGCTCTGACTTGAATAGAAGGCTCAACACCTCTGATCCAGAGTTTACTGAGGAATCTGAATAACGACCATCATCCGATCAGAAGTAAAGAGTTAGACCGTAAAAGAATCAACGACCAGCTTAATCGATCTAGAGATGCCATAATTAACGCCAACCTAAAACGTCGTGATAATATCAAGTTTGCCAAGGGAGATTTTGTCTTGCTGCACATGGACGACAAAATGCATCAAGAAAAATTGAAATATGAATTTCAAGGGCCTTTCGAAGTTATGGGTATAACTCCCGGAGGTCGCTACGAACTCAAACGTGTTGGGAAATCCACCATCACCAAAGCTGCTAAGGAGTAGTTAAGAAGATGGCCGACTGATTGGTCTCTTTCACTTGATATGACTGACTTACTAGATGCATTAGATGATGATGATGATGATAAAATGATGAAAGGTGAGTTGTATTGTTATATTTTTTATGGCACGTGTTAGAAATGTATGAGTGTTGAAAGCATGGACGCTTTGCACTTTTAGCGATGAATGAGTGTTGAAAGCATGGACGCTTTGCACTGTTGGTAATGAGTAAGTAGAAGTGTTGAAAGCTTGGACGCTTTGCACTGTTGTTAATGAATAAGTGTTGAAAGCTTCGACGCTCTGGATTGTTGTAAGTAATGAGTGTTGAAAGCATGGACGCTTTGCACTATTAGTGATGAATGAGTGTTGAGTGCGTGAAGGCACTGTTGATGTATAGATGTTGAAAGCATGGATGTTTTACATTGTCGGCAATGTATATATGTTGGAAACATAGAGGTTTTGCACTGTGCATAATGTCTGAGCTTGAACGTTGTACATTTTTATTAGCATTGAAAGCGCAGATGGTTCGTACATAACGCTGATAACAAACGTGACACAATTGACGAGCGATCTTTTTCCGTTATTTGCAGCATGGATGAGGCAGCCATTCTCGGAAACGAAGCCAGTACTCTGCAACCTATTAAATGAAGAAATGGGACTTCGAGAGCGTAGTCCATATCAGAATTGGCCGTGTTAGAAATCATCAAATTATTTTGATCATTTGTATTTGTCAACGCTCTGCATTTTTTTAACCAGATAAGTACCGACCGCAATCGGTCACCTGGGAGGTAGTTATAAACCATACCCCGGTGCGCTCGTATCAAAACGTCGTCCGTGTTTAACTTTGATGGTATTTCTGATATTTATTTAATTATAAGATTTGTTGTTCGTAAAATAAGTGTTAAATTGTTTTGCGCTAATTAAACATTCTGTTCGTATTATTTATTAATTATTTGTGTATTTTTTCTTACAATAGGGAGTTTCATTTGAAAAACCGTATGTTTGGTTCATAATTTGAAAAATATCACTTCCGGAGAAAAACTGACTACGCCACTGGAAGCTACGTAAAAATATCTATAAGAAACCGTTGTCACCTTTTCGATCACTTAAGAGAGAACCGAGATACAAGGGGTGTCCCAAAATGCAACTTTTTCAAAAGCACCTTGTACCTGAAAAACAAAAAGAACGATGACAATTCTGTTGGCGCCATCTTTCGTTTGACAAAAAAGTAGCCAACGTTCGCGGAAACCGTATCCTTCGACCTTCTAACTTCAATAGCAACCGAGTTATCCCTTATGGACAACCAAAATGGGACACACTGTACAGTTTTTGAATAATCATACAGTTTCCTATGTACAGTTTTTGAATAATCATACAGTTTTATATATTTTCATATGGTTCTCCATTCGTAGGTTGATCGAGTGTACGCCACTGTTATTTTCCTGTTTCTGACTTCCCCCTCAACCTTTCCATGTTAGTATGAATTCAATCCTATGTACAGTTTTTGAATATGGAATATCAATATAATATCAAAGTCCAAGTTTGTTATCATATGATCTGTTGGCACTCGAGCTTTACAGATTGAAAAATGTGTGTGGGGCCATTAAGTTATGGAGCAAACATGGGTGAAAATATGGAATTTTAAAATTGAGGTTACAAATTTTATGAGCTGGACTAGTAAAATTTCCCAGAAACTTTCCAGTCGTCACAATGATAATTAAATAAATTTCCAAAGATTACCCAGAAAAAAAAGCTTTTAAAATTATGAAATTATTGCAATTATGCCATTGAAACGGGAGCGTGAAAGAAGTGGTAAGACTGTGACACTCCAAAAAAAAAAAATAACGCGTCTCAACTTTTCACTAATTCCTATTTAACAGAAACTCCAATAATTCTGATTATAAATAATTTCTGCATTTATAATCTGTCACTTGGAGGTTCTTATCTTTAATTCAATTAAATCTTGGCTTGAAGGAATTCCTTAATCAAAAGTTCGATTATCCTTTAGACTTAATTTGACGAAGAAATTAAATGTTGTTTCGAAAATTTGATTATTGAGGAACTGGAAATAATTATTACGCGGAACGCTTTAATGAATATTTCGCGTTTACTGAAGCAACAGCCGAAATTAATTTTCATTGCTCAATACTCACTTTTCGAACAATCAATCCCTTGGAATCCATCGATGCAATCGCACTTTCCCAAATAACAAGAGCCACGACCCGAACAATCGTTCGGGCAAGTAGTGCTGACACCTTCGGCTTCAGAAATAACCAAAGATACCGTATGGGGTTGAAGTTCGTCGTTGTACACCGAAAGAAACCAACGGCCAGTGTCCAAATATTGAAGCAAGCTAACGTTGACCATCATTGATTCGAAATCTGGAGTTGTTGAGGCAACGTCGCGTTTTTTGATTATGTGTTTCTCGTCTTCAGGAATATCTAGAAGAAGAAAAATGAAATTTTATGCATTATTAGTCAGGAATCGATTTCTAGAGCCTGAAAGTTTAAATCAGGGCAATTATATTCCATCTCCTCGAATCTCGTGCCAATTTGTAGCAATTTGCAATACACGCAATAGCTTTTAAGCTTCTACTTTCTTTCGAGTTCCAGTGATGTGTGAAAGAATCCCTCTAATTATTTTTGATTGCTTCCAACCAAAAAAAAAAAGACAATAAATTCTGTCCACGTACCAGCAATTTTTCTCTGATAAAATATCTAATGTTAAACCGATTACGTAAATCAAACAACTTAGGGGAAAAAAGTAAATTCAGTCACCCCATTGCGAATCCAAAACAACGATTCGAGTCAACAAAAATGTACCCTGAAGCGGTTCCGAATGATGATCGGAGGGGGCAAAGATACAATAAAGAAGGGAATTTCAATTATCGTAATGATGCCATGGACGTGATAACCCTCTGGAAAAATGTTTCTGACTAGAGGGGAAAATATGTATTGTTATGCCTGAGACACAAACCTCAAATAACCTATTTTGAATTTTTTGTCAGTTGACTAAATAAAACTCAAGCGTGTTTTACATTGTATTGCATGGCAAACGACAAATTTAACATCAGAACCATGCTGGGTTTTATGATTAATCTCGATGAAACACGCATACATGGAAATCGAGTACTTTGTCATAAACACAAATACAAAAAAAAAAAAACCCCTTACCCAATTCGACAGTAGGATGAGGTAAATCAGTTCCTTTCGAAGCCCTAGCGGCGAATTCCTTGATTTTTATATCGTGCGGTACGTAGTAGGGTCCCCTGGGTTCCGAATCGGCCAGGATTTTCCTTGTTCCCTCGTAGGAACTGGAAATGCTGTCCAATACGTCGCTTTTGCGGCTCCCGCTTTCGTGGAAAAATTTGAATTGGGATAATGGACGTGGGTCCTCGTCGAAACCTTAAAGTAGATAAAAGCTTTTATGTTACATAGGTGGAATATGGAGAAAAGTTTGTTGTTTGTGTAAGGAAGGTTCGAATTTAATATTTTTGTAAGAGCAACGAGGTTTACTATGGGGAGAAAGAATTTTTGCTCGCGTTTTTAAAGTAGACACAAGTGCATATATTTTAGAAATGTTGCAGATAATACATTTGTTTCAAGTTACACGATATTAAATCATTCAAGATTTATTGGAGAATGAAATTTCTAATATGCCAAAAATTACTTAGTGTGGGTTTATTCTGTTTTAACTATTTGATTATATGATATTTCCAATTCCAAGCCTTTGCATTCATTTATAGTTCATCCATGACTCATTTGAATTGTATTTTCGTGAGCCAAATTTTTTTTCCTATTCTAAGCTCTTGTATTTTCCCATTTCTTCGACATTGAATGTTTTGCATTTTCTTGACATCGGAGACAAAATTAACTTTCTATGCGTCAAAACTCACGAGAAACCGAGAAAAAAAGAGACGAGACGAAGAGCTCTCTCGTCTCGAATCCAGGTTCTTTTATCGAGAGGAGAGGTTCATTTTCTCTCGAACCTTCGAGAAAATAAGTCTCGTGGACTCCAACTTAAAAATATTTTCTGTAATTGCAGTACAACCAGAAACTGAACAAAGAATCCTAAATGCAATTAAAACTGATCCAGTTTTGATAGAAATCAGTAACTATACGTTGGTCGTTGAATGGGTGGCCGGAACGCAAAAACTTGGTTTCACAAGATGTAAAAAAGTACTGGCCTATCCGAAATGAAATTTTTCTTCACAAAAAAATTATTTTTTATAATAAACGATTAATTTCAACCAAAAGCCTCAAAAAAAAAAAAATTCTTGATCTGATACATAAATTTCACCAGGGAATTGACTCTTGTAAAAACCTTGCTAATATTTGATAACGTTTTAGCATTTCACGTTTTCTCATATTTAGTTCTAAGGGTTATTTCTTGATTTTTTTTCAAATCTTCTGATTATAATATTATGATTGTATATTTTCTTATTTGTTAAAAGGGGCGTGTTATGTATGCTCGTTATTAGAAGTGGCAACACCGCCAACCTTCGATAGCCCAGTGTATGAGAACATGTCGGGCGGTTATGTCATGTCCTTTGACGCTCTGTGTTAATAGTTGTTGTGCTTATGTAATAATGAACCATTTACTAAACCACTGTGAATCCTTTGTTTGTTGCTTTGGGACCATTACAGCAAGAAATATTACAGACTCGTCCTCTATGTGGCCACTTATGACGACGTAATTAGAGGTGAATTATTGTTTTTCTGTAAACGTCAAAAAATGACGACTGAATGGGGTAGTATACTATGCAATGACCTATTAACACAGATAGACAGAACATCCCATTGATAAAATAGCTTTGTTTTGGTTGACTGCATGTTTATGGGCCAGGGGGGGGTGAGGTGTGAAAGCGGCTAGGAGTAGGGATTCAAATGATTCCGCTAACTCCGCCTTCATTTTACTATCGCATACTTGGCAACTCTGAAAATGAAACCAGAATCAGTGCTACAAAAGTGTATCTTTATCCTTATATTTTACATAATTTTAGAAAAAGATGCCGATACACTCACTGCGCACTGATTGACAAATGGAAATTGTCAAAAAATACCTGCTCGTCGCATTTTCACATGACAATTGAATAGAAGCCGCTGATTGGTGGAAAGGTGGAATTCGAGGTGGGATTTATTTTTTTGCAGCGTTGCTAATTTTCATTGAAAAATAATCGCTTTCCACGTGTTAGAGAAAGATACAAAATAAAACAAGGATTAATAAGTAGTGGGGAGAGATGCGGTTCCTGGCATGTAGTCAACCGATATTATTGTTTATTGTTCCGTCTATCTGTGTTAATAGGTCATTGATACTATGTATAAAAATCAGTAAAATAACTGCTCGACATTATTCTATAGGCTAAATGGTGATGTTATAGTGGGATACTAAATTATTTTCCAGCATAGTGTCTATAGAATTAGTCAGAGAAAAACAAACTGTAATTTGAATTTAGCGCCACAGAGGCGACCAATAGTATTCAAGCCGCTGAACATCTGGCAACGCTGCTCGAAATGCCTCAAAATGACAGCTGACTTCAACAATTCAACGACGTGTGGTGTGTGAATCGTGTGACATGTGACATTGTCACAGTATATGTGCGTTTTTATTCTCATCGGTGGATTCACCGATGAGTTAGCTATCTTTGCTTAGTGAATGGAAAATGACAATGACCGACATAGAATGGTGGATCCATCGGTAAAATTTGATGAGAATAAAAACGCAGGGTAACTTGTTTATGTTGTTTGATGTAGTAAATTTGACGTTTAGTTCTTGACGGTCAATGTTAGTGCAAATAGTGTGTTCTCAAAACCGTGATGTGTTGCCAGATTGGAAAAACTAACTACGTCACGAACTTTTATTTTCACGTAGGGGCGGGGCTAAGAGGAAATTTAAAAAACAAAATTCCAGTGTATTGCGGTTTTAACAAAGCAACTGATTACACTAAATAGTACGATGCGTCGAGTATATCACTACGCAGTAGTAAAAAATCACTTGTATACTACCCCATTTATTGTTGTATGTACAGGATGGGCCAATTTGAACACTTTTAATAAGAAACGTCCATTTCTGAGCGAGATACAAAAAAAATGAAACCCCCACTCTGAGGCTCAAATTTCATGAAATTTTGATTGGTCCAAACCGCATTTCGATATCTTCAACCGTTTAGCCGCTAGAGGGCGATTCTCGATTTTGAGCTATACTGTGAAACCTTCATAACTTTTTTGTTTATGAAAATAATTCATTTCTGTAAAGACTTTCTAGAAGCAATTTTTCTAAGTGGAATTCAGTGACGTTCTCAGCTTTTTTCTATTTGGCTCCGATCCCGAGATATTGACCAAAATCCGATTTTTTTTAATAGGACATCCTATATATTAATAGCTCATTTTTGTCATAAGAAACAATGTGTTGGACAAGGACTTTATATCTGTAAGGAAAGCGAGAAAGGTCTCTTTCTAAGACATTGTTTCTTATGTTCCTTATGACAAAAACAGAAATAATGTTTTTTCTCGAAAACTGTTAGGGATAAACCTATGGAACTCTATATCATTGAAATCAGCACAAGCAGAGCTTTCCAATAAGCTATTAATATATAGGGTGTTCTATTGAAAAAAATCGGATTTTGATCAATATCTCGAAATCGTAGTCAATTAGAAAAAAACTGAGAACGACACTGAATTCTGCTTAAAAAAGCACTTTTTTAAGCTGGAAAGTCTTTACGGAAATCAATTATTTTCATAAACAAAAGAGTTATGAAGGTTTGACGGTATTGCTCAAAATCGAGAATCGCCCTCTAGCGGCTAAACGGTTGAAGATATCAAAATGCGGTTTGCACCAATCAAAACTTCCTGAAATTTGAGCTTCAGAGTTGTTGGTTCATTTTTTTCTATTTCTAAAAATAAAGGGTGTTTCCATAAGAAAGTGTCCAATTTGGACGACCCTGTACATGGATAAGCAGTCCAGTTGGATAGATCCTACCATACAAATAAGTAGGTTGGATGCCAACTCACTTGGTCCAAGTTCTCATCCAAGCGCACTTTGATCAATCTGGCTGAAACAGGTGATACGATCCAAGTACCGCCGTCCAAGGATACTTGATCCAAGTACACTTGGACCGTGTCAACCTGGAATCGATATATTTATAGATAAAATCACGTGTAAAGATATAATTTTAAACGTCTTGGAAAACGTATGTCTGCTAACGACTCCATGTCAGTTTAAGGCAAATTTCATTAGTTTTGTCCCGAAACGAGAACGATATACACCTGCGATACCGCAGGCCGATTTCGTGTAATTTTCTGCTTAATGATAGGTTGTCGTGTCAACGAGTAGTCATAGACAAATTAGAACGGCGAGCATGTGAAAATAATTTACACGATAAAATGAGGAAAATCCATATTTTTTGTACCATTCTTGGATTTAGGCTCAAAATTATGTATTGAAAATCTATCAGATTATCCACCTCCCATAGACAATTTCATTAAACTAAAATCTATTTAAAAAAAAATCCATTTGTGCTAATTGAACTCGCGGTGGGCTACGGAAATATTTTTTAAAACCATCAACGGAAAAATCTTCCAATTAATATTTTAATTAAATTAAAAGCTATATTTATTTTCCATCATAATGGCCATATCAAAAATAATACTCCTGGACATAAAAAACCGGACAAACAAAATTTTGTTAAATTTCAATCCTAAATATTTTTTTCAATTTTGCATCGAAATTGATCATTTTTTGTCAAAAGGTAGGCGCGTTTATCTTGATCATTATTTAATATTGTGTTTGTGAAAAGTTCGAATGGATTTGATGTTATACAGGGTGGAACCATAAGTTGCATTTGGTCCCAAACTTCTGAACACTCTGTGGAATAATTCAACGACACAATCATGCGTATTTGCAGGACATTCTTAAGCGTTATCATTTCTTACCATGTCTTTTTTTAATTCATATCGATATCTTCAATCTCAAAGGAAGCACAAGTTTTTTAGAGAAGCAATGCAATTTATACCAATAACAAAAATTAAAAACATCACAGATAACTTTCACAAATAAACAAACACTAATATTGGGTATTACCTCCACGTGCTTTAGTAACTGCTGCCATGCGACGTGTTAAGCTCTCAATACAATTGGCAATAGCCCTTTGCGGAATGTTCTCCCACTCCTCTAGAAGAGCTCTTCGAAGATCTGGAATGGTTTCCGGTTGTCATTTGCGAATTAGCCTCCCTAACATGTCCCACACATGCTCAATCAGGTTCAGATCAGGGCTACCTGGAGGCCAGTCCAATCGTTGAATCCCTGCTTCATCGAGATAATCACTGACAACTCTTGCGACATTAGGCCTGGCATTGTCGTGCATCAAAGAAAAATTTTCACCAACAAATGGAGCAAAAGGAATAACGTGGACCGCTAAACATTCCTCAATAAAACGGTTAGCAGTTAAGGCGCCATTTTCGATAAAAACCAGGGCAGTACGGGCATGGACGGCCAGCTCACACCATAAAACTAGCGCCTCCAAAAGGTGTTCTTGGAGAAATGCAACAGTCGGAAAGTCGTTCTCCCCGTCTTCGCCATACACGCTCTCGTCCATCGGGTGAACGCAAACAGAAGCGCGATTCATCAGTGAATAACATACATCCCCACTCTTCGTCATTCCAGTCTTTCTATGGACACGGGCAAAATTTAACCGTTGAGTATGATGGGCTACTTGTAAAGCTGGACAAGCAGCCGGTCATCTTGACATTCATCCTTGTTCATGTAATCTACGGTGGACGGTTCATCCAGGCACTCTTGTGCCACGTACATTTTCAAGTTGATGACTAATAACAGCAGATGTTACACCTCGGTCTCGTAAAGCAGTTAGAGTAATAAAATGATCATCTCGCTGGTTTGTGACGCGGGGTCACCCAGACCCTGGACGTCGTGTGTACTCACCAGTCTGACGAAAGCGGCTAATTGCATCTTGTACAGTGCTTCTGGCTCTGCCCAAGACATTAGCTATGAGCGTATATCACGGCCATCATCATTCAATGCAACAGCTCGTGCAACATCTTCGGACCGCATATTGAAAAAAAATTCAACCTCTGAATAAGGATACACTGACACTTATGACAAAGAAACAAATGAAAATAAACACTTTTATAGTGTATTTTTTCCCAAGATGGATTTCAACATTGAAAACTTTGGAAGGTAAACAATACCGCTTGTCCCTGATTCGTCACAAAATGCCGTGTCCCTGCAGGTTGGAATCAATTTTTCATGTTTTGTCGTGCAAATGGCATCCTGCGACCAATAAGCGGCATTATTTATGTTTCAAAGTTATCAATGGTAAAATCCATCTTGGGGAAAAATACACTTTAGAAGTGTTTATTTTCGTTTGCTTTTTTATCCTAAGAGTCAATGTATCCTTATTCAGAGGTTGAATTTTTTTTCAATATGCGGTCTGAAGATGTTGCAGGTACTGTTGCATTGAATGCCTGGTAAGTACACACGACTTCCAGGATCTAGGAGACCCTGCGTCACAAACCAGCGAGATGATCATTTTATTACTCTAACTGCTTTATGGGACCGAGGAGTAACATCTGCTGTTATAAGTCATCAACTTGAAAATGTACGTGGCACAAGAGTTTCTGGACGAACCGTTCGCTGTAGATTACATGAACAAGGATTGCTGTCAAGAAGACTGGCTGCTTGTCCAGCTTTACAAGTAGCCCATCATCGGACTCAACGGTTAAAATTTGCCCGTATAGAGACTGAAATGACGAAGAGTGGGGATGTGTGTTATTCACTGAAGAATCGCGCTTCTGTTTGCGTTCACCCAATGGACGAGAGCGTGTAGGGCGAAGACGGGGAGAACGACTTTCCGACTATTGCATTTCTCCAAGAACACCTTTTGGAGGCGGTAGTTTCATGGTGTGAGCTGGATGCACCTTACGCCCGTACTGCCCTGGTTTTTATCGAAAATAGCGCCTTAACTGCTAACCGTTATATTGAGGAATGTTTAGCGGTCCACGTTATTCCTTTTGCTCCATTTCTTGGTGAACATTTTTCTTTGATGCACGACAATGCCAGGCCTAATGTCGCAAGAGTTGTCAGTGATTATCTCGATGAAGCAGGGATTCAACGATTGGACTGGCCTCCAGGTAGCCCTGATCTGAACCTGATTGAGCATGTGTGGGACATGTTAGGGAGGCTAATTCGCAAATGACAACCGGAAACCATTCCAGATCTTCGAAGAGCTCTTCTAGAGAAGTGGGAGAACATTCCGCAAAGGGCTATTGCCAATTGTATTGAGAGCTTAACACGTCGCATGGCAGCAGTTACTAAAGCACGTGGAGGTAATACCCAATATTAGTGTTTGTTTATTTGTGAAAGTTATCTGTGATGTTTTTAATTTTTGTTATTGGTATAAATTGCATTGCTTCTCTAAAAAACTTGTGCTTCCTTTGAGATTGAAGATATCGATATGAATTAAAAAAAGACATGGTAAGAAATGATAACGCTTAAGAATGTCCTGCAAATACGCATGATTGTGTCGTTGAATTATTCCACAGAGTATTCAGAAGTTTGGGACCAAATGCAACTTATGGTTCTACCCTGTATAACATCAAATCCATTCGAACTTTTCACAAACACAATATTAAATAATGATCAAGATAAACGCGCCTACCTTTTGACAAAAAATGATCAATTTCGATGCAAAATTGAAAAAAATATTTAGGTTTGAAATTTAACAAAATTTTGTTTGTCCGGTTTTTTATGTCCAGGAGTGTAGATATTGACATTTACTTAAATTTTTTTTAGATATTATGACGGTGTCTGTATATACAGGGTGTCCCACGGTGGATGGCGTATTAGACGTTAATGGAGAACTATAAAGCGGAGCATTTTGAAAATTTGGCAACCGGGATAAACTACCATAATCTACCCTTCATAAATATTTAGGTTTATGCGGTGTTGCCGCTTCTACTCTAAACCAGTGGCAACATCCCTATTTTAAATAGAACACCCTGTATGTGATTGCATATTTGGATTCTACGTAAAATTCTGAGCAGATTTCATGTGATATACCCTATACCTAAGTTCAACTGTTTTGGAAATATTGACAGTTGAAAATTGACTTTTTGCAACTTTGACAGTCTCTAAAACCTGAACGGTTAATTTCAGAGAAAAACCGATTGCACATTCCTATCTTAGATTTTCATGAACTATCATTTGACACCAACTTTGAATTTAACCGGAGATTAAATTTTTTAAATCATGGATTAAATTCGAAGTTGGTGTCAAATGATAGTTTATAAAAATCTGAAATAGGAATGTGAAATCGGTTTTTCTCTAAAATTAACCGTTCAAGTTTTACAGCCTGTCAAAGTTGCAAAAAGTCAATTTTCAGCTGCCAATATTTCCAAAACAGTTGAACTTAGGTATAGGGTATATCACATGAAATCTGCTCAGAATAATACGTAGAATCCAAATATACAATCAAATACAAGCTGTTCCATTTAAAATAGCGATGTTGCCACTGGTTTAGAGTAGAAGCGGCAACACCGCATAAACAAAAAAAATTTTAAAGTGTAGATTATGGTCGTTTATCCCGGTCGCGAAATTTTCAAAATGATCCGCTTTTTAGTTCTCTATAAACGTCTAATACGCCATTCACCGTGGGACACCCTGTATTTTCATTTAATTTCAATTCAATTTTCCGTAGGCGGTTTCGGTTTTTGATATACAATACAATAAATCTAGATTGGTGTAAAAAATATTCCTTACTTTGACTGAACAAATCCCTTTTCCTCAGTCTATGATCCACTCTTCCGCCTTTGACAAATTCAACGAAATCGTACTGAGTGATACTTGGAGCAACGTTTCTTCGTCCGTAAACGGCAAAATTGGCACCCCAAGGTAAGGTAAAGTTGAACCTAGAACAATAAGTATTTTTCATATATGTATGTGGATTGTGGATTGAAGGAGAAAGTTCTACTTTCTCTCATTAGTGCAAAGTATTTTTAGATTTTGGCAGCCAAAATTTTTTATCACTAACATCACTCACATGTATACGATATTCCTTTTGCATTAGAAAGTAAAGTCGAGTCAGAATAGTGTCAAATCTGGTATTCTTTAAAACAGTGTGTAGCTGGAAGAGTCTCATAATATAATAGTCGTTCCTTAAAAGTCATCCAATGACATAAGCATTTGCGCAAATTAAAAAAAATAATAAAAATTGAATCAAGTTCTAGATAGTCACTGTGTGTTATCCTCAGAGGGTGTTATCCATACTAGATGGATGACATTTTTGCTTGCCCGATTTGTCAAAAATATTTTACAGTTGTGTGTCTTACTCTAGTGCAAGATATAACATCTTTCTGAATCAAGACTTATAAATAACCATTTCCGAAATTAAATGTTTCATCAATAAAATGTCGATAATTTATTACAAAAAAAAAAAAACATTGTAACATTCTAACAAAGAAAATAGTATCTTTTCTGCAACAAAATCGCTACACAAAAGTGCATTTTCCATAGAAAAAAACTCCGATCGCACCCCAAATATATTGCAGCTTTTCCCCCTCGGTATGACGACGATATAATATACCAAGCCAAAAAGATGTTTTGCTTCCAAAATAACATAATTGAACACGGAAAAGCTCTCCCGGTTTGCGATTTCGAGAGAGGACTTGCACTACTTGGCAAGTGGGTTTCCACTTATATTGTTTATTTGTTATTTCGTATACTTTTCGTCTATTTTTGCTTCCAGAGGGTGGAAATTAGTTTGTCTACACTTTTATTGATAAAACTATTTAACCTGAAATTCCTACCTGAAAAAGGCCGGTTGTTTATTCCGAAACTCGGAGTGCCAAAACTGATAAGGAGGTATCGTAGCTGTGTGCAAAATATCCAGCTCGCGTTGCTCTAGGGGCAAGGGAGACCATTGCTGTTGTTGCTGAGCGGATTGTAGCAACGAGCTGTGTTGCGTTGTAGCGCTGGAATGTTCTGCTGTACTTGTTGGTAACGATTCTGAAATTAAAAAAAAAAAATCAAGGTATATAAAGTATTTCAAAAGAATCACAACATTACGAAATGTTAAAATAGAAAATGCGATACTATTGAAATCCAATTCGGAGTAGAAATTGGAAAAATCGAATGAACAGTTGTCATGCGATAATTTCCCTCACACGAATATATGAAAATGTAAGAATTGGATAATTTTTAATTTTCCAGGGAATTCAGTTTCGGATTTGAATCAATGATAGATGATAATATAATTTACTCAAAATTGAGTAAATTATATTATCAAAGACGTATCTTTATCTGTAAGTTTAGAAGGGTGGCATGCCACAGCACTTAGGTCGTCATCCAGCTTATCAATTTAACGTAGGCGATGGCAGATGGGTACGATTGTCCTAATCTGGATCTACGTATTGGCGAAATAGCCGTGCAGTGGCATCCATTCCGGTCTTTCTCTTGTCAGGGTCTCCTTACCCCAGGAAGTAGCATTAATCCTTTTGTTTCGCATCTCTCTCCTCAGAGTCTCCTCACCCAAGGGAGCAGTAGATACACGTCTCTTCAGGGTCACCTTACCACAGAGAGTTTTGGAGCAATCCCGTTTAGGGCATCGCCGCTATACATATACGTGCGGGAACCATTGCACCCCCGTATAGGTACATATAGCCCCAAACGCAAGTGGCATATCTGCGTAGTATCGCTTTGGTAATATACTCACTAGGAAGCAATATACGATAAGTGTCTTTTCTAGTTGTGTGTTTTCCTGAAGAGCAACCCCCAAACTCGGGCCCCACCCACATGAGCCGCGAGGCGTGTGACATATTATGATGGAGGTGCCGTTCGAAGAACCTGTGATGCTGAATCTCCCTATTTAGCTCCCTAAACGGGAGTACAGTGCCCAAATTAAATTATGAATTGTCGCCATTGTATCAGGCATGATGTTTGAACGTATTGATTGTTCATAAAAGTGACATTCACCGATGTGTCAAGGACACGGATATAGCCGTATCTCAGCCGATGATACGTCGGTATCTGAACTGAGGGTAGGGTACACGAAAAAAAAAAAAAAACTTTTATAGGACATAGAAAGAAGGCTTTGCAGCAAGAATAGGAGGGTACGTGACATAAGCGAGAAATAGTGTTCGTCCTCTAAATCCGCATCCATAAACTAGGAACAGTGAATTCTCTAGAAAACGCAGAAAGTTGAAAACCGTTATGGAGAAATTAGGGGCCACCTCGTAGAGTTGTTGAAGATGAGAGCAAGAGTAGAAATCGTCCCGTCTGGTGACTGGAGGTTCTGCGTCGATTATCGGAGTTTAAATCGGGTAACCATTCTCGATGCCTATCCAACCTCCTATGTGAGTGCCACTCTCGATAAGCTCCGTGATGCCAAGTTCATCAGTACCTTGGACATGAAGTCCGCCCATTGGCAAATCCCCATAGCACCAGAGTCTCGTCCGTTAACAGCTTTCATTGTGCCTTCCCGTTGCCTCTACCAATTCAAGCGTATGCCTTTTGGGCTAACTAATGCTCCGGCTGTGTGGCAGCGACGCATTGATCAGGTTGCTGGAGTGGATCTTGAGCAAAATGTTTTCATTTATCTTCACCATTTGTACACCTAATTTTGACGATCATTTGCGTGTCCTACGTGAGATCATCAACCGAATTTTTGATGCGGGTCTTACTCTCAATCAAGATAAATGCCAGTTTTGCAAATCGGAACTCAAGTATCTCGGTTATGTAGTCACTTCTGCAGGTCTACTAGTCGATCCTGGAAAGGTAGAAGTTATTCTGCAGATTCCAATCCCTACCACTGTGACAGGGGTACGCCGAATCTTGGCTATGGCGTCGTGGTATAGGAGATTCGTCCCCAATTTTTCGTCCATCATTCCCCCATTAACCGCGTTGACTCGCAATAATGCGAGGTTTACTTGGGATGATGGCTGTGCTCAGGCATTTCGGACCATTGAGTAGCATCTTGTCAAAGCTCCTGTCCTTTCGTGTCCCTATTTCGACATACCTTCTTCTGTCCATTGTGATGCTTCAGACTTCGGTTTGGAGGCTGTAGTGTGGCAGATCCAGGACGGCGAGGAGCATGTAATGTGCTATTTGAGCAGATCCCTGTCTAGGAGCGAGCGGAAGTATAGCACCACCGAGAAGAAGTGCTTGGCGGTTCTGTTTGCTATCGAAAAGCTACGACCATACATAGAGGGAACCCGATTTACTGTTGTACCAACCACTATAGTCTTAAGTGGCTCAATTCTATTAAAGACCCTATAGGAAGAATTGCCCGTTGGTCACTAAGGTTGCAACAGCATGTCTTCGACATTGTTCACCGTAAAGGCAAAGATAACGTTATCCCTGATGCCCTGTCACAGTCTGTACCAATTCTCGATACCATCCAGGCTTTTGCCGTTACCGACACCCCTCGTCAGGCTACTGATCCTTGGTACTTGGGTATGTGCGAGTAGGTGGTTACCCCGAATTGTCAGGTCCGACTAAGAGCGCAACATGAAGTCACGAACTTGACCCCTAACTTTGTCATGTTTGGACGAGAGGTCCATTTACGTATTAAGGATGAGCTCCAATTGAGCGATTCCTTCGACGGTCCTCCCCAGATTCCGGATCCCCGTGTCAGAGCTGAAGCTCTTAAACAGGTTTTTGCCGACGTACACCAGCGTCTACAACAAGCGTACGAAACGTTGAAAAACACCAATAACTTGCGAAGACGCAATGACCGGTTTATCTTAGGGCAACAAGTCTGAAAGAGGAATATAGTGCTCTCAGACGCAACCAAGCACTTTTCCGCGAAACTCGCTCCCAAATTCACAGGCCCTTTCACGATCTCGTCTTCTTGGTCGTATGAGCTGCAGAACCAGGATGGTCGCTGTGTCGGCGTATGGCACGCGAAAGACCTGAAGGCTCATCCTCCCGATTATGACTGACACCTGTACTCTCAACAGGCATAGACTCATTAGATTGGGGAATTTGTTTTTGTTGTGTCGTTTGGTGGGTTTCTTTCTGTTGTGTTTTCTCGAACCACTTGTCTATACCGTGATCTTGGTCTTGAACCTGAGAAAAAAAATCGTTGATTTTTTTTGTGGAGGAAAAGAAAGTGTCGACTCAGTCGAGCCATCAACGAAAACATGCTGCTCAAGATCCACTCCAACAACCAACCAACATCAATGAGTCTCTGCCACACAGCCGAAGCATTAGTTAGCCCAGAAGGCATACGCTTGAATTGGTAGAGGTCACGGGAAGGCACAGTGAAAGCTGTTAAGGGACGAGACCATCACGATAGGCGAAGACCAAAGAGAATCGGAAGGCTCTATTATATCCTGGGCGATCATATGCTCAAACTCTAAGTGAACAATCTTCAACAGCGTAGGCGACAAGGGATAGTATCTCTGCTTTATTATGAACTGTACACGGTTGGTACACCCAAGTTTGTCTCCCATCCGGAGAAATGTATCACGCAAGAGAGTGTCAAGTTTTAGTCGATGTTCGGGACTAAGAGTGTCGAGAGAGTGATTAGACATCATTTGATTGACGGCTTGAGAGTCGGTTCTAAAAGACCATTCACCGGAATAAGGATTGGGAATTATTCCCGTTCTGACCCAAAAGTCAACTCCAAGGATCAGAGTGTGCGGCAACGAAGGAATGACTAGGGTATCCATGAGTGCTAATCGGTTCTGAAGGATAAATGGCAGCTGAACTGAACCAATACATTGGTGGCCATCTGCCACCGTACACTGCACTCGAGTCTCGGTATTAAGGGAACAGAGAAGCTTTCGAGGAAGAGAACACTGCCTAAAGCTGTGACCAGATTGGTCGCAATTCCAACACCTCGCGGGAGCACAGTGGGGCACAAAGGCCAAATTGACAGGATTTTTGGCAGGTTGGTAACTGCCAAGAAGATCAACTTTATTAATGGGTCAAAGGATTGATCAATAGCCGCAATGCCCGACGAAGGTTTATGATAGGCCAGAGCGGGCTCTAGCAAGGATCTGTAATTTGTTGGAGGAGACACAAATCGTTGGACTCGAGCTTCAGTTTCCTCGATGTCTCGACTGAGTCGACATAAATCTGTCATAGTCACGACTCGCTAGGTCGCCAACCGTCGCTGGATGTGCGGAAGAAGGTTACGGAGCATTACTTGAAGCTTTTTCGTTTCCGAAGGAGGAGTAGCGAGCTTACGGAAAAGCTCACACGCTCTTGAGCACCCTGAATTTCATCCCAAAGTCCATATTCATAATCAAAGGGCTGGAAGGCATCCCTTAATTGACGAACGAGGTCCTCCCAACTGTTGAAACGACCAGTGCGGTACCACAGAAGCGCGTCTCCTGTGAAAAGTTCTGGAACGGATCGGAGAAGATGCTCTGACGTCACACCTCGGGAAACACGAACTTCCGCGATACGCTCGAGAAAATCGGTCACACTTGTGCGGCCGTTGTATTTAATACCCCAAGAGGACACATTCTGCGACTTATGGTAGTAGGGAGTTACCAACGACTGATTGAAGTTTCTACCACGAGAAGGGGAAAATTGGAAGTTTTCCAACCTTTCGCTAAAATCGACCTCGGGATTCGAATGATTTAAAGTTTCAGTTGGACGGGTGGAATTGAGCTGTACCTGCCTGGAGAAACCGGGGTACTCATCCTCAAAATGGACCTGCGATAGCCTTTCTGACGTGGGTATCGGTTCTGATGGCAGTTGGGAATTAGTGGTAACAGCTCTGGAAATAACTGAAGGAGGCGGCTGTCTAACAAACGAGGAGCGCAACCGTGGTGGAGGCTGATCACCAAGAAACTGTTGATAATAGAGCGGTACGTCAAAAGATCAGCAGTTGTTATCTTAGTAGAATGTGGCTTTTGATTTTTCGATTGACAGCCCTGGGTGAAATGACCTTTTTTTCTGCAGTTGTAACAAATAGAATTTTTCGCTGAACATTTATCTTTGGCGTGTCTAGATCTACCACAAAAATAGCATTTAGAAGCGACAGCTGCTGGTCATATGCAGGACATTTTAAAAGTTTCTAAATATATAACAGCCAGTAATTTCCGTTTGGAGGAAATTTGGCATGGAGGGCTCTAGTTAGGTTCTGTTTCGAGTATTTCAGTTCTTCTTCCTTCCTGTTTCAGTTTTGGATCCGTCTGTGTCGATGTTACTTACCACTGCATCTGTGTTGTTACTAATGCCTTTCGTGTTGATTGCGTAGTGCTTTGTGCTTTTTGAAGATGAAATATGGCGTTGCAGAGTCCACTGTTGCTTCCAACAGCCATATGCAGGCTTTCTGCAAACCGACTTCTGCACTTGGTGTTGTACCAACAGTGCGTAAGCACATCATTGTCGCTAAAGCGACCTCCTTGACATAATACTGCCAAACCCCTAGTTGGTGTGGTTTTCATTGCACCAGTTATGTTGAACATTTCATTCATTAAACGTGGTCTGCTCGGCTCTATGCCCCATAGGTAAGCATAGGCCTGATGATGGCTGTACAGATCCACAAAACTACCTTGGGGGAGAACATTCAGGTCTTACCGATGGTACGTCTACACTGTCCATAATCAATATATTACCTATGCTTTCTGTATTCTCTTGATGACATGAAAGTATCAATTTAGTTTGCAATCGAGTGTCACTCCCAGATATCTGACCTCGGCAGCAAAGCTTAGTCCGGTATTTAAGAGTCTGGGTTCTGGCGGAAGTACCAGTTTCCTCTTTCTTGTGAATAGGACCATTTCGGTCTTTTTGGGGTTGATGGACAGAGTGTATTTCATAATTCAAAGAGCATCTTGCATGGGTTCGAATTTACCTCTCAATAGTTTACAATTATGTAACAACCAAGCCAACATCAAGACAAAATAATAAACTTCGAAAACTTCACAATTCACTAATTATTATTGAACTTCAGCAGCGAAAACTTTCCTTATTTCTCGTATAAGCCAATACAGCTGGCTGGAAAATTGCGAAAAACTTCTCTCACAAAGCTCTCCGTTTCAACCTTCTCACTTTTTCTTTTCCGTGGCCCGTTGTCGTTAATTTCTGACAATGACGTACTATAATTACCGTGTCTAAACAGCACACCGAACACTTCCCGTTTGAAAACTTTTTGCATGCCCGGCATTTTATTTCCGAGTTATTTATTTCCTTTAATAAAAAAAAGGGGTATTTTTTAATAGAAAACTTTCTTCTGAAAGGCGTCATATTGGATTTTTTGTCAAAAATAATCAGTGAAGCATGTGTTCAATATTATAATCAGTATGAGGAAAACTCAATATTTCACCCCTGTGTCACCTACGAAAGAGGCAAAGGTAAATAGATTGACAGCGACTTGAACGATCAATACAAATACGTTGGCCCAATTCTATTTCTATCAGACATGTTTTAAGCATGTAATGGAAAAAAAAAAAAAAAAACCTTACCTTCAGTGGGAGTTTGCGTTGATTCTGAGCCCATAGTAATTTGATCTTGCGTCGCTCCATCTTTCACGTCTTGCACTAATATACAATTTGATGTATCTATATTTGGTTTCATCGAACTGACTGCTGAAAAGGTCAAAATTTTTATATCAAGCTCACAATACCATTTTAAATCTTACCAGCAAAATAAGTCAGCATTCCAGTGAGCAAAACGCTCAGCATAATCAGCACGATGCTCGAACATTTCCACGAGCACCGATACTGGCACCGCTTGTCGATATGAAACCTGGACGGGGAGTACGGCGAGTAGTGCGACGATGCCGGAGGCGGCGCTGGTCTTATCGGAAATACCGGTACCACCATGGGGGCGGACGGTTGCGTTGTCACTTGCGGTGTGAGCGTGTTGGTTTGGCCGCCTTGGATGCTCTGGCCTAGTTGGGTTTGTTGGAGACCGGCCAATCTGAAACAAACAAAAAAATTCAATTTTTCAAGGCTTTAAATTCTACAGTAAATGATTGGAGATTTCAACAAGTGGCTCTTTAGGTTGCCAGACCTGACACAATGTGACTTTTTCTTTGAAGGGACTTGGGAAGGATAGCATGTACATGCCTAACTACTGTGGATTCTGGCAGAACTCAAATTCACTTTTATGTGTTAATAGGACTTGATCGATTCGGGCTCTCAATATATTTAATTCCGTGCACCCATTTAGCCATGAATGTGCATAAAATTTGCATGAAACAAAATCCAATTTTTTTTCTCTGGATAGAAAAAAAAAATTAAATCCAAAATTCGTCGCAGCGAAGCGCAGAGCCGCTCACAAAATTAAATTTCCTAGTTAATTGCCTTTATTTTGAGGTGCGAGCCAAAATTGATATTTGATTGCGTTTCGGTGCATGCTAATTTTCTATTATTATGAACAGTCATTGAAAACTTAATTATTTATTGAAAATTACTCGACAGCGAAGCGAGAGAGAACCGGGGATTTTGGAGGAGAGTAGTGCGGGAATGCGAATTTATGATTTCGCCGCTTCTGCCTGCCTGCTGGAATGGTAAAGCCGCTTTTGTTCGTCTCCCTTTTCCCGCGACAAATCCGGGACTGTATCAGTAAGATTGCAGGGAATTTAGTTTTATTTTAATAGAATTTTGTGTTGCAAATATTAAATTTAAAATACATAACACCTTTTACTCTTTGTATAGTCATCGTTTCACACTAGTTTTTTAACAGCTATAAATTTTATGTGCAGTCTAATAATTTCTAATGTGCAATTCTAATTAATCGTAGGCTAATTTAGACATGAAATTAATAGAAAAATTCACAAAACATAACATCCTAATACTACAATAATTGAGAAAGCTTTCGATCAAATCAAAACTAGGGCAATTATGGAAACAGTGGACAATGCAAGAATAGATACCAGATATTCAAAGCACATATGCGATAATGCTGTACTACACATTAAGATTGATGATGATTCTTTGATGGATAAGGTTTTAATAGAAAATGAAGTTGTAACGTGCCAAAATTGCCTTTAACTATTTCACACCTATTTTCAATTTTTCATTCAAAATTCTTATAGATATTTAATTTTTCTCATTCTATTAAGCTTTGTTTACATTTTTCCTTTATAAAAATTCAACAATAATTACAGTATTTGCAGATCCTGTAAATCTTCTAATCTTTATTATTTAAATTCTATTTCGACTTGTGATAACTAATGATTTTCCTCGATTTTAATCAATATTTTAACTACATTTCAAAATTAATTTCCATATATAGTTTTTCCAAAATCAATTGGAACAAGGTGAACATTAATTATAACTGGTGGCTAACTAGTGGCAGTGTATTTCTTATGGAAATTTTCAGTGACCAGTCAACCACCAGTTGGTACCGAACAAATCAATTATTTCTTGATTAGGTTTTCCAAATAGAGGTCCGTTCACGAAGTAGTATACTGCACGCTCCACGTACTCTGTGCGGTTGCTGAACTCAGTACCAGATTTAGTTCCGGAATTGGTTCTGGGTAACTACTTGTTGTTATTCTCATTAGTTGTCAGCTGTTATCATTTTTCTCAGATTATATTGTTGTATGTAATTTTTGGTACTTCTCTTCAATTTCTTTCTGGTATTTGTCGATACTTTGCCTCATCTCTACTCTTTACCTTAAGGACGGCTAATCAATTTCCTGTGGTGCTCCTCTCTTTCACGTTTGATGATTCAGAGAAAAACGGTCTTTCTGAAGAAGTTAAATTTTTTCTTCGTCTTTGAGGGATTTTGAGCTCAATATTCTCAATTATTGAATTTATGTTACGTTGAGCTGCCTTACGTTGCGTTACGTTTTCGTAAAGTGCCATAATTTCGCCGATGATTTCGGATTTTTACAACCATCCATTTGGGTTGCATGTTTTTCCCACAAGGATGATTCCGAACAATCCCTATTTTGATCTTTAGTGAAAAGTTGCCCTTAAGGGTAGAGTAAAGACCACCTCACTCACTCCAGGATCTCGAGTTCAGACCTCGATCCAGACTAATCCAGAGTATTTTGGAGGCACATAAAACCCATTCCAACAGGTGAGACATAACTTAAGAACGACAGATTTTCTTTCCAAACTTGAACCACATTTTCTTTCCTAGTTCTAGTTCTGCTTTTCATACATAAATTATTTAAATATTTTTCAAAAGCTATAGTTTCACCTAATAAATTAACTATCAATGGTTGACTAAGTTACATTAAGGTTACATTTTCTTGTGGTTCATTTCAAAGTGCCTGGCCTTCGCTAGGATCAAGTTACAAATACAGAGTACTATAATAGTTTTTCTTTAGGATTTTTACTTACGGCCACAAATTTAAGTATACGGCCAGCTCTTTTAACTAAAGGCTTACACATTTAAGTGTACGGCAACCTTCATCAGAGCCTACACAGCTGTAAGGCTTCCTCTAACAGAGCCTATCCCTTTTTGGATAGTTATACCTTTGTTTTGGTACTGTTGAACGACGCTTGTTTTGACCACACCGCTACAACCTGTCACTAGGACTAATCAGGTTAATTGAGCCTACTGCCGTCACTTGGAACATATTGGTATCGTACTAGCTTTAGTTCAAGTATTCTTTGTTGTCAAGCATGCCTCTGTTTTTCAGGCAGAGGTATATGTTATACTCAAGTGGCAGCAGAGAATAGTAGGAGAGCCGTAGCCAACAGGCAGATCCTCAGAATGTCTGACAGCCAAGTGACACTGAAAGCCCTTTCGATCCAGACAGTGTCATCAAGACTAGTATGAGAATTCCAGAAAGAGCTCAGGGCCCTGGTGGATCAAAATGAGGTAAAACTTATCTGGGTGCCAGGACACAGAGGAATCGAAAGCAACGAAAAAACTGAACTGAACTCGCAAAGAGAGGATTAGAAACAGAACTTATCGGGCCAGAGCCGGCTTTAGGGATACCAAATAGTATGACCAGAAACAACATCAAAGACTGTGTTCGAACATGAACAACTTCCAAGCAGAATGATGGTAGGGAGTTCATTGACCAATCAGAAAACGGGCCGCAGAACTAATACAGATGAGTAGTAGTGAACTAAGGACTATAAGGAGTCTTATGACATGCCACGCACCGGTGAAGGTCCTCCTGAACAGAATGAACCTGTATGACGGAGACCTTGACTATAGACTCTTCGATAAGGAACCCGAGACAGCCAGACATGTGTCTGGAAAATTGAGAGGCACTGGATCGCAGAAGGCATACGAGCAACCAAACGTATTCCCGGAAACAAAAATGGAACACCAACCAGTAAAACACTGCAGCCTTTTCAGGTTTTAGTGTTACATGGGAACAATAAGTCAGACAGGCCTGAGAGAGAGAAAATATCCAAAATAATATAGGAACAGCTCCGAAGCCATGACGTGATGAAAACTCAGATTGCTCCAAACAGAAACAGATGGAAGATGCCTACACCCAGGAATGATAAATATAAGATGAAGAAGATGATGTCCAACACTAAAATTAAATGACTGATGAGTTAGTTATGTCTAAAGTAAGGTTTGAATTTCACTTCAAAATTCTTCTTGTCGAACTGATTCTGGACTATTTCCTAAAGCTACACTTGATTCGAATACTATTTTACTCAAAATCAAGTTCATCAATCATAAGTCACGGTTCATTAAACTCCACCCACCAGAAAAATTGAACATTTCCTCTGGTCAATATGCGCCAAATTTTGCATATAAATTGATCGGGGGTCATAAATGCATCACGCCCGAAATCCCCAAATAATACAATCAGAGGCCCGACAATAATAAATCCCTATTTTTCACAGTTGTAATTGAGTGCAAGTATATTTTTCCTGTTCACCCTCCGTGAAATAGTGTGATTTTTTTTTTGAATTTTTATTAGTATGCCGAGGGCGGTAAATTGTCCTTAAGTTATTGATATAATCTTTGACTCTAATGCATTTGGATTTCATAATAGGGATATTCGAAATGATTCATCCAGTTTCAAATGAGTTTATCACATTATGAGCAGTATGTTCTCGTGGCATAGAGAATGAGAAAACGAGAATCTTTTCTGTCATACGAATACAATGCCTGTGAGGAAATGGCCATCATACATTTCTTTCTCAATGACCCTTCCATTTCTTCTGACTACCACGTTCTGAAAGCTCCGTTCTTATAAGTATTTTCCATTTTCTTCTCACAATAGTTCCTCATGTTTATTTTGATACTCCTCATCTTCAGCTTCCAATCTGATGTTTCTACTTACGTGATAAAGCTCTTGTTTAATAAAAACGTACATTCAAAGCTCATTTCGCTATTTGAAGAGAAAATGTAATTTGGAACCAACACGGGCGATTTATGAATGTTAAAAGTTCCTAGCACTTCCAAATCACCGTAGATATTTGCATTCAAATAAGATATTCAGCCACAAATTAATACTCCGGTTTTTGGCCAATGTCAAATTGCTACCCAATTATAGGAATTATTGTTCGCGAAACCGAGTCCCCATGAAAATGTTCAGCCGCTGTGAAATCCATTCCGATTGTATATTCATTAATGGTCTTTTGTACCAAGCCAGCGCCCAGGAGGGATTTCAGTTCGTGTGTGTGTGTGCAATTTATTAAATTCGATATGAGCGAAAGTCGGGCTATTGACTTTCGAAGCAAGAATTGGCTCTCTGTTCGCTCGTAAAACCGGGGTGATCAATACCAGAGTCAATTTTGCATGTGAAACTGTATGAGGGTAAAATATGTATGAAGTGCTAGTGTTATCCCTTCAAATATGCACAAACGAGAAGCTGGTTTTGGATAAATACGAGACCGAGAGGATTTGTTTTTTTTTGGAATTTTGATAGAGGCATTATCGAACCCTCCTTCTTTACAAATTATAACTTGTAAATTGAATATAGTTTATTCAAGACAAGAAATATAGTTTATTCAACAAAATTATTATTATAGTAATAGACAATA